TGCAGTCGTATAGTGCTTTGATGCTGGAGCGCTGTATTGCTTCAGGCTCAGACTGGAGATAGAGAGTGGAGTGATTCAGAGCTTCAACCCCCAGCTTTGCAACATTGTGAATCGGGTTGGAGATATAGAGTGAGTGAAGCTTTGCAGCACTGTGATTCAGGCTGAGCAATTTTCTTCACACTTCTTCTTATTTCACTTGAAGAGTTGCATCGTTTGGTGTATTAGAAGTGTATCTCTTTATTTATTATGTATGTAAAATTGTGTGTGAAGTGAAGAGAGATAAAGAGAGAGTGTGAGAAGAGAGAGACATGTTCAATTTCTCCCAATTTTTATATTGAATTTGTTAGTGCAGTGTGGTTCTCTGATTTTTTTCTCTATTTCTATTTTTTTTCAATATAAATCTTAGTGTTATTTCTTCTTCGGTATAGTTTTATTTTTCTTGTTTATTTTATAGTGTTACACTCCCCAACAAATTCGACTATCATGATATTTAGCTTTAGGCACACATAATTATTAGGCGTATTTGTTCCTATTCACCCTTAATAACAACTTTAGGTGTTGCTACACATGAACACATCTTTAAGATCAACAATAATACTAATTAAAATAAGAAAGTTTAGCATAGGATTTATAAAGCTCTCTAAGGTTTCATTTGAGACAGTTTTTTTAATATTTTCTAAAATTATTTTTTAGTACATAAATTTTTACTAAAAAATTATTTTATAAAGCAATATGCAAACTATCCCAAACAAAACTTTAAATAACCAAACTATACCATTTTTAATAAGGACGTGCAATTATTGCCAACTGTTCAATTCACTTTAAAAGGGTGGGGCTAAACTTTCATAAAGTTGGATTACTATTAAAAAATAATAATTTATGCAGAACTAATTCCAGCTATTCATGTTGAATTCAACGCCTCGAATTATTTATATATAGTAATTACAGTAATAACTAATAAGGACCAGAATCATTATGGGAGTTTGGGAAGATTTATACATATTTCATGTCAATGATTGTTTAAACACCAAGCTTTTATTGAACTTGTCTTCATCGAAATTACCTAAGTTCATGGTCATAATTGGTAAATATAGCTATCACACTATAGCAAACTTGGTCATAAAAAGCATTAATGTCTCACTTGAAAAATTTCTAAAAAGATGCGAAAAGCTATAAAAAAACAATAGTTAAATGAAATTATTACTATAATATGAAAAGCAAAGATGTGAGAAAATTGTCTAAAGCTTTGTTTGGGATAACTATCTTACTGCTTTATAAAGTATCTTCAATGCAATTCAAAAAAAAATTAATACTAAGAAGCTATTTAGCAAGCATCAAAAAGCTGCTGCAATCGAAGCCCAAGGCTTCATTTGGGATAACTTTCTTTCTATTTTTCTTTTTAGACATTAACCACAAGTCTCATTTGGCCGCTACCTTTTCATTGTTTTCATGAGTTTTTTTGTACTAGGAAGTTTTCTATAGCAACTTTCAAAAAAATTATTTTCTTCACATCAGCTTTACAACAACATTTTTAAAAGCTAAAGTTATCTCAAATAAATCCTAAATTAATAAAACTCTTAGACAACTCAACTCCTAAATCAATAAAACTCTTCATAATGAACAAATATTATACTCCTCTAAAGAATGTGCATGAGTTGCTATACATTAAGGTGCATTTAAATTCTTGTTCTATCACTTCTTATCCTTTCTAAGATAGACGAGAAGTGTTTGGTACCTCTGCTATATCATATATTTCAAAGTGTAGTTACATGCATGATGGTATCTTATTGAAGTATAGTTATTTATATGGATATAAAATTCTAGTACTCTACCACAAATTCACTGAATATTTTGCTAGAGCTGAGGCCGGATTTTCGCTCGACCATAGAACGTCGCTATATTTTCATCTGATCTCCGCTCGTCACTAGATTTCAACCCGACGGTGTCCTCAATAGAATGGATCAATCATTTGTAATCTATTCAAACACTAGTGGAATCATTTTAATAGGGCATGGCCCAATGGATTTTTCCTTTGCTATGATTTTCCACGTAAAAAATATTGTGTTTTCTATTTGTATGCTGAATATTTGTACAATGCTGAGACAAAAAAATCTAACTCTATCGCCGCGTATATTCTTGCTTGCAACAGTTTTAATAATCGAACATCAATAATTAGAGTTTCTTCAAAGGGGTATGGCTCGACTTTTATGAGGGAAAAATTGTTTTAAGACTTTAAAGGATTATAGGAATGTACAATGGTAATAGATTTAAGAGAATTAAGATATTTGGGGATTATAAAAACTTAATTGTCGTTAATTCACACAACAATTTAAAAGAACACCAACTCTTTGTAGACATTATTTTCATATCAAAGTTATTTATTTCATAAAACTATGGAAAATGATGGGAAGACATATAATCATATTCTAAAATATCACCTTAAATTTTTTTAGTAATTTATAATGGTCGCCTTTTTCATCGATTCCTATTATTTTGAATTCTAACTTAGACTTCGTTTGGAAAAATTTTCTTACTGCTTTCTAAAGCAGCTTTTTAATTCAAAAATTTTTAATTCGAAAATTTTTTGTACTAAATTAGAAAGCAGTGATGAAGCTGTCCCAAATGAAACCTTAATAACTTCACTGAAGGTTAAGTTAAAGTTTTGTATTATTATTAAATATTCTAAATTTGAGCGGATTAACTAGCCTCCAAAAAAGTGGTTTAAAAAAAAAAATTCTCCCCAAACCTAATATGATTAAGTTAACAATTTCTAAAGGAATATAAAATAAAATAAAATTGAAATATAATTAATTATCATGATAATTAGTCTTTGAAATTGATCTAGTGAGAATCCTCCTTGACTAACCTATAGATCAACTTTCCTCCACAAAACAAACTCTTCTATGTATAGCTAAAAATGTTATTGCGATGAGTGAGGTTCAATAATCTATAAATCTAACTAGGTAGTGAAGAATTTGTATCTTTAGCTGTTTCTAGTAGTATAGTACACGTAATTGTTGAGAAAACTGATAATGGCATCAATTTTATTAGTGCACATATATCTCCTACAAAATGGGATGTTTATTAATGCCAATGTTTAATAAAATATTTTGGAGATATTTTAAGAAATAAAATATGAATAGAAAGCAAGTTAGGAGGAAAAGCTAGAATATTAAGTCTAAGGCTTTGTTTGGGACAGTTTTTTTACTGCTTCTTAAAGCTGCTTTCTAGTTAAAAGATATTAATTTTTATACTTGAAAGCCGTTTTATGAAGCAATTAGAAAGCCGTCCCAAACGTGGCCTAAGTTTCATTTGGGGTGGTTTTCTTAATGCTTTATAAAGCAGCTTTTTAGTAAAAAAATTCTAGATCAAGAAAAATTTGTACTAAAAAGGTGCTTTAGAAAACTATAAAAAACCGTCCCAAACAAAGACTAAAGTTACTCCTGACTAAAAGATTTAATTCTAATACATCTCTAAAAATATTCATTTGATTGATTTAAATCTTGATATGTTACTTGTGTTGGAGACTTCCAAAAATAAATTCAAGATCAATCGAGCTTTGATTTAAACTAACTAGCCGTCATGCTAAATATTTGGATATGACAAAGTATACAATATCAAAATTGATCTGATCTTAGTCCAAATGAACTCAAATGATGCACTTGAATTATGATTAGGAACTTTGGGATAATATTTGAACTTTATGCATATGGTCAAATTGAGCATCTCCATGATATGATATCTAATTGATTGATATAATCTGAGTCATCCAATATAGTGTTATAAAAGTTTAACTAGATTTACTCAAAAGCCACTAAAGGAAATTCATGAAATACAGACAAAATATTTGGCGGCTCGGGGACCGCCGAAAATTCTGGTGATTTAGCTGCCAGATTAACTGTTGGTAATAACCGCCGTTTATAGTGGCTGTTTGAGCGCCGAAATTTCTGGCAAGTCTATAACAGCAAAAAATTCTTCTAGTATTTGATAAGTTCGACATCGTTACATGCGGAATGACCGTTGGTTTTTAGTGAGTTTTTTTTTTTTATAGCCGCTGGCAATTTCCACCGGTATGAGCCATATTTCCCCCAATCCACTCCTCCTTCCTCATTTTAATGCATCTTCTTCCATTCTTTTCATCCCAGAGAATGCCCTCTCATTACTGCACCTCCAATGACCGTCCTCCCTAGCCGACACCAACCTTGATCCTCATATCCCCAGCAACTCCTCTCCTTGTTGTTCTTCCTTTCCCTCCGCAAGAGATCATCCTTAAGGTTGTTAGATAGTTTTTCTTTCTTCTACAAACTTGATCATATGTGTTCCAATTGCACCATAGCCAAATGATAAGCATGTAAGTCTCAATACTCTATTAGCAAACAAAGTAGCTCTAGACTGTTATCACAAAAGTAGATCCACCTTTCCACAAAACATGAAAGGAAAAAAATTAATTAGAAATTAAAAATATTAAATTTAGATGATACTTCCTTATTTCAATCAAGAAATAAACCTTTTTGAGTCCACAATTCATGACTAGAATGTTTTTATTTTTTTAATTAAATTCATTTATAACAATACCTTTTGAGTTATTGTGCTATTTTTTATTTCAAGTGCGAAAGTATTTATTTAGAGTTGACTAAACACCTTTTTCAACATATCAATTTGCTTTTGATTGAAAGAGGATAGTGTGGAGGATCGTTTTGGTTTATTTGTGATTTTTTTTTTGAAGAAATGCAAAGTGCATTAGAATTTATTCAAAAGAAAACTAGAAACAAACTAGTGAGAGTTATTCACTCTATCACTTTCCTCCTTTACAAGATGAAGAAAGGTAGTAGGAAGTGACCTCTCACAAAAGACATCCCAAACAAAATCAAACGAAAAAGCAAGGTTAGCACAGTAATCGGCTACCTTGTTACAATTTCTATCCACAAAATGAAAAATGACATTATCCTAATTATTGAAGAATGAGAAATCATCATGTGTTATGCTTCCACCTATTTCCTTCAGTTTGCATTTTGAAGGAATAGGATCACATTCTTATTGTCTCCTTCAAAAATAATACCTTTAATATTAAAAAAATAATCCTTCAAAACCTCCTTAAGAGAGCTGAAAGCAAGGAGTTCAACCTGAGAATTATCCCAATGTATTCCATGAAAGCCAAATGCCAACATAAATCTTCCTTTGCAGTCCCGGACAATGCTTCCAATGGTTGCTTCATAGTTATTCTTCAATGCAGCATCAACATTTATTTTGTACCACTCGGGTGGGGGAGGACACCAGAAATCGTAGAACTGTCCTAAAGACCGACCGGCATCCCAGTAATCCGAGATATCTTTATTGAGTTTATCCATATTAACAAAGCTAATCACATTACCTGCAATGATTGATACACTATCTTCAGCCTTCCTGTGCTTCTTCATATTCCTGTTATTCCAGGAATACCATTGTAAAGCAAAATATAATTTCACCAGTAATTTATTATCTTCATACACAGATTTTATCTCATTTAAACAATGCTGAAATGAACTAAAAATCGGTACAGGAAATCCCCATCTTCTTAGCTTCCAGATAACTTCAATAAGATTTGAGCATTTAGAAGTAATATGATCTACATGCTCCACCTCCCGGTAGCCTCTAGGACATAAGTTGCAGCCACTTAGCCTCCTTTTCTTCAAGAAATTTGCTGTAGGAACTGCATCTTTTCTCAATCTCCAAATGAATAACTTAACTCTTGCATTCATTTTCACTTTATGAATCCAAGCATTATGATCCACCACAGCTACTTCCCTCACATTTTCTTCTCTTAACATAGAAGAAATTGATTTCCCCGACAATTTCCTTTTCAACTCCATATAATCTGATTCTGAATCTTGACAAATCTGAATATTACATATTAGCTTAACTAAATCTTCCCCAAAAAATAGAGGAAGTTTCTCTCTATTCCAGCTCCCTTCTTGAATAAAGCAATCAAGAGTTGAGTTGTCATCTTCAAAAACAGCCACAAAAGTAGGCCATTTATTCAAACATTTTTCCAAGATCCATACATCCTTTAATACATTAATGCTCCTACCATTCACAACTTTCCATCTTATGAAACCTTTCAAGTCCTTCCAACCGCTAGCTATAATCTTCCAGGAAGAAGAACCACATCTCCAAGAATCACTTCTCCACCAATCATTTCCATACTTAGCAATTAGGATCCTATTTAACAAGGAATTAGGATTAAGAACCAGATTCCACGCAAACTTCGCTCTCATTGGTTCTAAACTGGATACAATCGAATGCATCCCCAACCGCCCATTGATCTTGGTTTGCAAATTTCTTCCCAAGCCACATAATGCATTCCTTGTCTACCATGAAGCTTGTTCCAGATAAAATTTATGGAAATTTTCTCAAATTCCCTCAAAATACTTAAGGGGATAAGAGAGTGAGACATAAGGAGCAAAGGAAGATTACCCCGAACATGTTTTATCAAAACCAACCTTCCTGCTAGGGAAATGTATCTATTACCCTAAGCATTAAGTGTCTTCATAGATTTATCTAAAAGACCTTTAAAAATAAGTCTTTTTAAGTCTTATAAGAGCAAATTTGGTTCCCAAATATTCCATTTCTTTTACTTGTCTTATCTCCAACAACCTTACAATCTTCTTTCTTCTTTCTCTGTTGACATATTTGTTAAAAATAAGAGCTGATTTTGAGTATTCAAACTCAATCCAGTCCAAGCACAATAATAAACCAAAATGATTTTAACCTTCTTGATACTTTTAACCTTTGCATCAAGAAATAAGAGGACGTCATCGACATAAAGCAAATGAGAAATACTTTGAGTATTAGGAGCAATACTGATGTCAATTTCCTTGCTTTCACTTAAAAAGCCATTAGAAAGAAGTTGGGATCATATTATAAAAAGAAAAGGAGAGAGTGGACAACCTTGACAGAAACCACTCCTCCCTTCAATCTAATTAGAAATTCCACCATTAATAGAGATAGCATATCTAGGTTCCATAATACATTCCATCACCAAGTCCATAAACTGCTTTGGGAAGCCCAAGATCCCCAGCATTTTGTGAAGAGTCTTCCAACACATGCTATCATAAGCTTGCTCCATGTCTAATTTGATTGCTACCATACCCTCGACTGATTTAAACATTCTAATTTTATTTGATTCTTCTTGAGCTAGTAATAAGTGATTTGCAATGTTCCTTCCTTCGACAAAAGCCACTTGCTCCTCCGAAATAATTTTTGGAATGACCACCAACAACATGTTCAAAATAACTTTAACAACAATTTTATAAATAGAATTACACAAACTAATCGGTCGAAAACCAGCTGGCGTGACTGGATTCTTCATCTTCAGAATTAGCACCACTAGTGTGTCCTTCCATTCCTTGCAAGTCCTTCCCGTTATAAAGAAATTTTTTACTGCTTTAAAAGCATCATCACCTACAATGCTCCAATAATCCTTGAAGAAGGAGTAAGTAATGCCATCAACTCCAGGAGCTTTATTGTTGCCCAGCAATTTGATAATTTCTGTGATTTCCAAATCTGAAACTTCAGTAACCAGTCTTCTCCTATCATCATCATCCAGAATACTATATGGTGCAAGCCAGTTTTCTTCATAGCAGTCCCTCTCCTTCCATTTATCTAGAAAATTTCTAAAAAAATATTTCATGTACTTCTTTAGGATCTTCAGTTAGCTCCCCACTACACTTCTTTATTTGAGAAATCCAGTTTCCGCTCCTTATGGAATTTGCAAAAGAGTGAAAGAATTTGGTGTTCTCATCTCCCTCCTCATACCATCTCACCTTTGCTCTTTGTTTCCACCAAGTATTTAACTGACCAAGTGTCATATTGAGTTCTCTAACTTTAGTTCTCAGCTTCAAAAGCATTTCTTCACTCAACCAACCCTCGTTTGCTTCCACTTCTTGAAGATGAACTATTTCTTCCTTTAATTTGTTGTTCTCGATAGAGAACTCATTTACCTTAGCCTTCCCCAAAAATGCAAATCTTTTAAAGCTTTTTTACATTTTTTGTTAAGGATTTCCATATCATTGCCTTAAAACCTCCTTTTCCAAACTTTCTCTATGATGTGAGCTGAACCTCTATAGGATAACCATACATCCTCAAATTTGAGAATCCCTTTACTTCTAAATGGAGACTAAAAAATTTTTAATACTATAGGACAATGGTCTGAGGCAATTCTGGCTAAATGTCTCACCAGATCCACTTGAATAAAGTTGATAGCCAAGGTGTTAAGTAAACACCTATCCAATCTCTCCAAGATCCGGCCTCCCCCACTTTTGTTATTGCACCAAGTGAACCTTGGTCCCACCACCTTAACATCATGCAAATCATTCTCATTCATGAAGTCCAACATCTCCTTTGGACCTTGAGAGAACACAAATTTCCTGCCTCCTCTTTTCTCATCTTGAGAGATTATGCAATTGAAGTCTCCCCCTACAACCAAAGGGACCTTCATAGTTGCAACTTCTCGACTCCACAAACTTCTTCTTTTTACCACCTCCTTGCTTCATAAACTGTAGCAACCATCCACATCCCTTTTTTGAGAACATTAAGGTTCCCAATCACACATTGATCCGACTCCTTGAGAGCTGTAAAAGAAGCCATATCCGATCTAAATAATAACAACATACCTCCCGACAAGCCATCTGAAGGAACCATAAATAAGTCCCAATCATTGCCCAAGATTTTCTCTAAATCAAATTTGTTGAAATTACTGATTTTTGTTTCCACTAGTCCCACAAAAAGAACTCCATGATCTTTAATAAATTCCTTGAGATAGAGAGAAGCCTCCTTCTTCTTGGCTCCTCTACCCTTCTTTCTACTGCCAACCCCATCAAAATTTTTTCTTTTGGGAGCACTTTTAATTGGACCAAGAAACTTCAATTCTTTTGCTAGCTTAACTTTGTTACTCTCCCCACCTGGTATAACTTCTCTAGCTTTTTCTCCTCCATAAATTTCCCTGTTCTGTCCTGCTTCACAGCATTTATCCAACTCCTTTTCAGACTTAAACGAATTGATGTTGATTACCACAATATCCCTTCCACTAATAATATTACCCACCTACATCATATCATCATCAACCATATTCAATACTTCAAACTTATTGGCTGAATTTGAAAAACCAGTTGAATCAGGTCTGGCCTTATCCAATTCATCACCAGAGCATATAACAATTTTCCCAGACTTCTCTTTCTGATCCACAAGAACAATGTTATGTTCTAACTTTTCAACTAAATCTAATTCCGGTCAATATTCCCCCTCCTCAGTTTGTTCAACTTCATCACCAATTCTCTCTGGAATCTCAGGAATAGAGACTACGTTCCTGCTGCCTTCACCCAAACCATTCCAAACTTCCTTTGTGGTAATCACTGGAACATTATCCTTCTTAATATATTTCACTGTGTTTGTCTTAACAGTTTTTTGCTTAATCCCCATGTAGATCTGATTAAATCTTCTTCCTCTTTTCTTATTGAAAAGGATCCACGGACCATATGAAGGCTCAATTAAGACCTCCTGCTTCTCACCTTTATCATCTTTTCTGCCAGTTTCTAAAATATTCTCCATAGTTTTTGGATTTTTCTCTTTTAGAGCACATTCATTCTTCACATGTCCTATCTTTCCACAACCAAAGTAAAGGTTTGGTATCTTCTCATATTCCACTTTTTGGAAGAATCTTCCAGTCATGCTATCCACCCAAACATCTACCGGAAGTGGCTGATCAAGCCTTTTTCTTACACATACTCTTGCAAATTCCCTCCTCCCCCAATGAAACATGTTGTCGTCCAACATAAGTGGTTTACCAATCCTTGAGGCAATGTAAGCTACATTCTTCTCATCCCAGCATTGCAAAGGTAAGTGGGGCAATTTGATCCAAATTGGAGAAGAAAGTCCGTTCAACGATGCAGTAGTAAATTCCGGTGTCCACTTTTCCATGCCTACAATAGCCCGTTAACAAACCAAGGGCTTCCTAAATGAACTGCATCCACCATGTCTTCAGACGAGAAAGAGCATAAAAACCAGCCTTCACCCAACGTAGTAAAGTGGAATTGTCCAAATTGACTCCATTGCCTCCTAATCTCCCAAGCCACCAAATGGGAAGGTAAATCTTTTCCAAAAACCTTAATTACCAGTGAATTCAACAGTTTCTTAGAGTTCAACTTCTTCATTTCTTCATTCAGCTTAATAGCCATTCCGTCCTCAGATAATACTGCCTCATCTTCTTTAAAATCCAATTTTATATATGGTTTCTTGCTCCAAGGATTCACATTACCCATGCCTACAGAGTTCTTAGGCATTCCATCAGATAACTTATCTCTAGAAGTAGAAGCTGTGTTATCAGAAGGAATTATAGAAGATTTCAAACTCTTTGGAGTAACCACCTCTTCAGCTATAGCTAATGATTTGCCTTTGCTTTCCACATGATTGATTACCTTCGGTGAAAAATCTGATACCTCCTTTATCACGAAAGGGCCTTGCCATCTCTTCAACGGTAGCTGTTCTTTCTGTTCGGAATTCAAAAACAATAACCCTTTATCATTAACACTTAACTTCGAATTACCTACAAATGACGGAGATCTTGAAGACGATGAAAGCCATCGTTCATCCTCCTCAGAGAAATCGTCATGACCTTGTCGACGGCTATCCGGGAACAGAATCCGGGAAAGAAATTTTGAAATTTCAAAATTTTCTCTCTCTAACGGGTGGAGCTTATCTCTCTAAAGTAATTTAGTTTAGTTTCCTCCTGGGATGTTGCTGTTGTTGTAGTTATTTGTGTCATTTTTGGTTGAAGAGAATTCATGACCTTGCTTTCCTAGTTTTGAATCAGTTGATTTTTCACACAGCTTCCATGAAGTTTCTAATCGGTCCAAATTTTTTTTATAATAATATCACAAAGGCTTTTTTTCTTTGCAAAATTTTGCTTGCAAGTATACATATGTTGAGAGGAAAGCATCGGACTTTTAGAATTAAATAAAGTACCTTTGTCTCTAATTGAGATCATTTTGCGACCATTTTTCCAAAAAACTTTAGAGAGCACTTATGAATGAATGGAAGTTTTTAATCCAATTATCCTAAGCCAGACTTCATCAAGATTTTTATTTGTACTAAAGAGAAATTTTGATATTTTTTCTTTCTCAAATAATTTTCAATACTATTAACCTTTTGAATCAATCAGTAATTGGCCTTATTATTTTTATTACATATAAGACACTCAACTATAATCCCTAATTCAAAA